CCGGTTAATTTTCATGATGCTGTTACTAGTCAGGAAAACGACAAGTGGATGGCAGCCATGGTTGAGGAGATGGAGTCTTTGAATCACAATCGTACATGGGAGTTGGTTTGCCTTCCTGAGGGTAAAAAGCCAATTGGTTGCAAATGGGTGTATACGAGGAAACCAGCAGTAACAGAAAAAGAGGGGGAGAAGTTCAAGTTCAAGGCTCGTTTGGTAGCAAAGGGTTTTTCATAGCAGAAAGGAGTTGATTATGATGAAATTTTTTCTCCTATGGTCAGCCACACTTCAATCCGAGCAGTACTTGCATTGGTGGCCAGTTGGGATTTGCATTTAGAGCAGATGGATGTTAAAACTGCTTTTTTGCATGGTGATTTAGAGGAGCAGATCTACATGCGGCAACCTGAAGGTTTCACTCAACCTGGAAACGAGCATTTAGTTTGTAGATTGAAGAAATCTTTGTATGGGTTGAAACAGTCTCCGAGACTGTGGTATAAACGGTTTGACTCCTATATGATCAAGATTGGCTACAACCGATGTGAGTATGATTGTTGTGTCTATGTTAAGAGCCTTGATGACGGTTCTTTTATTTTTCTATTACTGTATGTTGATGATATGTTGATTGTTGCGAAGAACATGGATGATGTTATCGGTTTGAAAACTTTATTGAGTCAGGAATTTGATATGAAAGATTTAGGTGCCGCAAAGAAAATTCTTATAATAGAAATTTGCAGGGACAGAGACTCAAGGAGACTGTGGCTATCTCAACGGGGTTATGTTGAAAAAATGCTAGAAAGGTTTGCGATGAACAGCGCAAAACCAGTTAGCACTCCATTGGCGAACCACTTTAAGCTCTCATCAGAACAATGCCCTACGACAGATAAGGAAGCTGAAGATATGGCAAAGGTTTCGTATTCTAATGCTGTTGGCTGCTTGATGTATGCAATGATATATACTCGTCCTGATTTAGCTCATGCTGTTAGTCAAGTTTGTAAGTACAAGTCTAAACTTGGTAAGCAACATTGGGAAGCGGTCAAGTGGATCTTTCGATACTTAAAGGGTACTGTGGGACATGGAATTGTTTTTGGTAGTCAACGAGATAATCCTTTGGTTGTAGGATATGTGGATTCAGACTATGCATGTGACTTGGATAATATAAGATCTACGACAGGGTATGTTTTTACTCTTGGTGGAGGACCTATTTGTTGGAAGTCTACTGTTCAATCTGTAGTGGCACTATCTACAACTGAAGCTGAGTACATGGCAGCGGCTGAAGCTGCAAAAGAAGCTTTATGGCTCACTGGTTTAGTGAAGGAGTTGGGTGTTCAGCAAGGTGGAGTTCAGCTGCTTTGCGAAAATTAAATTGCTATTCACTTAGCTAAGAATCAGGTATATCATGCTAGAACTAAGCACATTGATGTACGTTTTCACAAGATCAGAGAGTTGGTTGCATCTGAAGAGATTTTGTTTTAGAAGGTACACACTTATGAGAATGCCGCTGATATGTTCACCAAGCCAGTTACGACAGACAAGTTCAAGCATTGCTTGGACTTGTTGAATGTTTCAAGTTGTTAAAGAACTAAGGTAACCCAACCCACATTGAATGTTTCCTAAGGGGCAGTATATTCGCCAAGGTGGAGATTTGTAAGGTATGGCTCATAAATATACTGGTAAAGAGGACAGGGGATGGAGCGGAGTGAGCGAAGCGAACATCAACTGTCCTTACAAAGAAAGTCTCGTAGAGGGGGTTACGATTATGTGGGTTGGGGGTGCGGGGGGTACGCCCCCGTGGTACAGTACATGGTTAATTTTGTAATTATGTACCAGGGTTTTCTATTATAAATAAAGATGTAACCTAAACCTATGAGAATTGAATAAAATTTTCTAGCGCCGCCTAGGCACCGAGGACGTAAGCACATTGCCGAACCTCGTTAAAATTCTTGTGTTCTTTCGTTTACTTTGCCCGATTTATCAACAAGGTCGTTCAAGCAAATGTGTTATAAAATCTTAGGAAAACTACATCAATAATCACTTGAATACTTATATTTATCACTTAATTATTTAAATAATGTTAATTAAATCCTTTATAGTTAATAGTAAATAGAAAAAAAGTGATGTGTGAATTAAAATATGATTCTTGTTTTAAATTGATCCCTAAATTTCTAAATATTCTAGTTTCATCCTTAACTATGACTGCTATTTTAAATTAGTCCTTAAACTTTTTAACATTTTAGTTTCATCCCTAAACTATAACCTTCATTTTACATTGATCCCTAAACATTTTTGAACATTTCAATTTCATCTCAAATTATATGTATATACTAATCACATTCCATGTTAATAAAATCGTTAGGTCAAGTTATATTATTATATGTTTGGATGAATTTGGGGATGAAATTGGAAGGACGCCCAATTTATTTGGTCAAATCTCTCATTCGGTGTTTGTATTAAAACATTTTAGAAACATTTAAATCACTAAAAATAAATCTAATAATTTATTTATAATTGAACATATTTTATATATATCTTAAAATTATAATTAGTAATGTTTAAATAAAAATGAGTGTAAAATTTTCAAGTACTCTCACTTGTTTATTATAATATGATAAAAGTGTCAACTCCGATACTTTTTTTTTATTTTACAGTAAATTATGAAATCTTTAATTATATGTAATTTTTTAATAGTTTAAGATGATTATAATATAGTATTTATTAGTAATTTTTGAATTATTGATAATTTATACATATCCTAAAAATATAAATGCTCAAACTTAATAATCTAAATAGAATAACATTGTATAAAATAATGCGAACTCCCTCTAAAATGGATTCAGATGATGTAAACTCCCTCTAAAATGGATTCTTAATTATAGTATAATTTAGCAGTTCGGCAGTTGCTGGTTATAGTCTACCCCAAGAAAAACATAATTGTCTTGTATAAAATAATGTGAACTCTTACATATTAAATAATAATTGTAATATTGATTAAAAATATTTAATCTGTAACCCCTCAGATCGATATATGTAACTTAATCTGATTCAAGGTGTCACATCAAGATCACCAGAGCGGTCTACACTAAAAATCTGGGAAAATTTTAAAATTTTACCAACCACAATTTAAAATCGTAAAATAAGTTCTACGTAACTATATTAAATTCAAAAATCGTTCAGACATTAAAACAAAATTCAAAGGTACACATATAACAAATTTCAAACTCGACTATAAAACATGACTTGTTCTACATGGCCCCCTAATTACACATCTACCGTACTCAGAAAGCAACGACGAATAAGTTCCTATAGATGATGTCGATAATTGTACCAAAATATGCTCAAAGCCAAGTAAATATATGGTAAAGAATAAAAGTTTTAGTAATGAATTGAGGTTTTATTAATTAATTCATCATGTAACATTCAAGAAACTTACAATTCAGAGGAAATATTCATAGAGATTGAATTGAGGTGTCTAGTGTGTTCTCACAATATCGAAAATAAGTGTACATATACTTTAAAACAATAGTTGTTTATTTCAGAGAAACAAATTTTAAAATCATAATAATACCCTCCAACTGAACACCAATATGTAGTTCCCTAAAATTGCATCTATAAAGATTTACCCTAGATCCATTGGGCGTAGGAGCTGACCTGAGGTGATACCTCAAGTCCATAAGGAATTACCAGCTTGATCGAAGTTGAACCTACAAAGACTCCATAACATGTCCCAGATAAAACCTCAATATAAATTAAATTAAACAGTAAATAGTAATATCAGAAATCGTACGCCAGTAAAATATCGTAAAAATGACAAGGATGTTTATTTAAATCACATAACTACCCTCCACCCATACACCAAAATGTAATCCCTCATTACTGTATCTATAAGGACTTACCCTAGGCCCATTGGGCGTAGGAGCCAACCTGAGGGATACCTCAGGTCCATAAGGAATTATCAACGTGATTGGAGTCGAACATACAGAACTCTGTGATATATCCCAGAGAATACTCCAATAAAACATTTTTATATAGTATCATTAGAGTCAGAAAAACATAAAATCAAAAATATTTATTTTTTGGTAAAATCGATAACCAGAGAACATGTATCAAGCAATCATAATTTATAATCAGATGATAACAATCATGTTCACATGACATTTCAAACAAGTATTTAATACAATTATAAAGCACACAAAGAACACATTAGAGGATCAAATTATTTTTCAAGGGCACTTGGTAGTTCTTAGAAAGGAAAAACATTAAACTTATATGAATTGATAATATTTCAGAAATGACATCCTTATTAAAAGGGTTCGATTACTAATAGATCTAATCAAACATTTAGATGATGGAACTTGATATTTAATTACGCATAACAATTGTCTCTAATTGAGAAAATATTATACAATGACATTTTTGAAGACTATACTTATCTTAAGGATGTCTCATGTCTTTTGTGTTAGTAAAATGTTTTTGATAAAAACAAATTGATGATGGAATATTTTGAATTTAAAAAGAGAATTCTAAAAGGGGAAAAAACTAATTCAAGGTTGGAGTTCTAGCAAAATTGGTGCCACATGCCCATAAAAGTGGCCTTTATGCTTAGGGTCATGACTCATGAGTTTTAAGTATCGCTAATAACGAACAATTTAATTTTTTTTTCAGCAGGCTCTTCCAATATTCTTAATGGAGCTTATTAAACAAACTTTCAAGGTTAAAATCGAATATATATGTACTAGGAATATATAAGCTTGTAAAGATTGTTGACAAGACATAAAAATTGAATGAGTTGAAATATGGCATTATTTCAACAATCCATTGTCGTCCAGTGGTTAGGATATCTGGCTTTCACCCAGGAGACCCGGGTTCAATTCCCGGCAATGGAATTTTTTCTCCCCATCTAGATATATAGTTAGAAAATAATTCAGTCTCATTTCATATCATTAAAAGGAAAACATTGAGAAGGTAAGGTTATTAGATGCAAAACGTTAACATTTTCCAATCACATGACAACATTAATCAATGAACGCCTCCTGTGTTACAACCATCTCCATTCCCCATCTCCCCACCTTGTTTTTCATCAATGGCCTTAAGAAGAGCCAGCGTAATTTCTCTGATACCAGTTCCTTCTTGTCCTTGAGCTTCAGCAATGGCTTCCATGGAAAACAAATGGCTGCAAGACACACTAGCTCGAACAACATCCAGACCCAGTTCATCAAACGCCGATAGAATCCACACCAATTTGTACCCTCCTTTGTTGCTGCAAACAACTCTAACCACAAACTGTTCTCCAATCTTCTCCACTTTCACCTCCTGCTAAGCTCCACCATCAATATATATATATATATATATATATATACAAACTTTAATGCCAGCATGCGAACTATATTTAAACCAAGTAAAGCAAATTACCTTTGGGATTTGTATATGCTTCAATAGAGTGAAGTACTCGTTTCTCATAACCCTAAGATTTTGGCATTCTCTTTGTAGTTCTTCCAACTTGATTTTCAGCTTGTGGAAATGGAGAACAACATTTTTGTTGAAATATCTCACAGATTTGGGGTTTGTCTGCATAAGGTGAAGGCGCTTTCTGCGTGATACTGCTGTTCTTCTCCTTAGCTTAGTAACCATATTTTCTTTTACCTTATTCTCTTTCCGGTGGCCTAACTTTTATAGGATGGAAGAAAGGGTATGTCTTGGAATTCAACATTTGTTTGCTAATTGTGCTGTTACGTCGGAATGATTGTCAGATATTTAATCAGATAATATGGACATGTGACACAAGCTGTTGGAAAGTAGTTGTTGAGATGGTAGGAGACAAAAAGGGTTTCGTTGGTTTAACAGTAATAATTAAGGGTGTTGCAGATTTAAACCAACCGACAAGGGAGTGTTGTTGATGACGATGTAAGGAAACAGGGCCACTTGGGGGTTGAGGAGAAACACCAAAATGATGAAATGGATTATTAGGTTGTCATAACTCGTATATTCCCTTGTTCACTTAGCATTATTTGCATGGGAAAAGATGTGGGGTCATCTTTTTCAGATGTCAGAATCAGGCAATCAATCAAAACCAGAGGGACTGCCATTCCATGTTGGTTTGAGCCTGCCAGATCTTTAAGGATCTCCATGCTTTTGGTGTAAGACCCTGAAATCTACCCACCACTGTGATTCATATCTAGATTAATATGTTATACGGAAGGTAAGATTATCGGTGGAAATAAAAGAAGGGAATGAGATTATTGAGAATATTGTATTTTGTGTTTGGTTGGTTTAGCAGGAATGTAAGATTATCATGTTTGATTAAAGGAATAAAAGATTATTGAAATGTATATTTGACGAAATTGTCCTTATTATATATTTGTTTTTTTAACAAGTTGAATTTTACTATAATATTACTATAAAATATTTATATATTTTTTTTAAATTTAAATTCATAAAATTTATATAATTCTTTTTACAAAATTAAAAATATAAAAAGATTTAATGAAGTGGTATATTTTTATTTTAATCCATGAACTTCATATAAATTTTAATTATATATTTTTTTTGTAAATCTAAAATAGTTTAAGGACAAATTTTTATTATTCAATGATAAAAGAAGGATATTTTTGTAATTTAACATTCATAGAATTTTTATTATTCAATGACAGAAGAATGATATTTTTGGGAGAAAATTAAGGGCATTTTTATCCAAAACGCTGATAATCCAACAATACCTAAGGGAATGGGGTAATGACATTCCCGGTAATATACCCAAAAAAATCCACTATTGGTAATAAAACATTACCGGGAATGAGATTACCAGCCAACCAAACGGGGGAATGTGGATTCCATTCCCCTGGCAATCTTATATGACTTGAACCAAACAGCCCCTAAAAAATATTATTTATCTTAAAAAAATCTAAGTTTGAGTAGTTAGATTTAGGCCGTTAATAAATTAAAAGAATTTGAATAAATATTATTTTATAATTATTTGAAAAAAAATAAGTTTTTAACTTTTAATTTAAATACAGAATGAAGTAGTATAATTTGGTCATCTCAGACTTTTATCCTATTGATGAACGCTCTTTTCCTTCGCATGCTAGCTAGTCGTGGCCTAGTAGTTCACATGCTCTGACACTATGATTCTTTATGGTTCTTTCCTCTTCCAGGGTTCATAATATCCCCTCTATTTGAAAAACAACCGGCTGTCTAAGGTTTTTTATGGGGGTTTCAATTACCTCCACAACCCACAATAGAGAGATGTTTGACAAAATGAGTGGGAAAAGGGTACAAAGTGAAAGCCTGATTCATACAGTGATAACGTCATACAGATTCCATACACAGTGACACCACCTGGTGGGGTTTATCCATAGCCTACATCTCTGCAAATTCTTCCAAAATTTAATAAGAAAAGAGGATAAAGCCCTCTATTCTTTTAACAATATTAATCTAATCTCCATTGCATTGAGTTTTGTTGGATATCTTTTAAATAAGATTTTAGATTTTGAGCTCATGGAGGAAGAAATGACGTTTAAAAAGCTTCTCTTTCGTTAGAATTCAATATAATTAAAGATCTGATCTTGGGGAGGGAAGAGATTTTTTATCATCTCATTCAATCAGAATAATAGCAAAACCGTTGGAAATGGGCACGAAAACAGGGAACGGTAAGGGATTCGAGTGTCCCATTGAGTACAAAGAAAAGGGCAGATCAAAAACACGGTACAATGCCTTTTATCAATGGCAACACTTTGTCTGGTTCCCAATTTGTCCATTACTCATTCACAAGCATGCAGCAGAAAGAAAAACCATTTACATATTATCTAATTGTCCATGGAATGAGGAATCTCATGAGCTAACCAACCATGGAGCTTGCAAGCACAAATATCAGCAACTGCTTAGCCAAAACAAGGGGCTAAAACCTTGATAGCAAAAGCAAAATAATAAGTCCTTATTTAAGCATGTTCGAAAATTTTAGGCCTTTATTCAACCGTTTTAAAAGGTTAGATCTTTATTTAAGCAAAATTAGAAAATGCTTGACTTTTGGTTGATCATTTTGAAAGAATATATTCTTATATAAAAAAATCTTTAAAATATTATATCCCATCAACGATGAAACATTGTAGTTTCTCTCGGTGAGTCATTCCAACACTTCTAATGAAGTTCAATAGACAAAATTGAATACATACACTCTAGGAATATAACAATAACATATAGAATAATCAAATGATTTTTGGACGGAGTCAATAGTAGGGGTGAGCAAAACTCAACTCGATTCGAAAAATCAAAATTTTTTATTTGATTCGATTTAAAAAAACTAGACTCGAATTGAATTCAAATTACAATTTCATAAACTTGATTCGTCATTAGGGAGAATTTTTACTCTACTATCTCCCGCTAAGAAGAGAAGGGAAATTCATAAACCCTTTAATAATTTAATAATTTACATCAGGATGAATAAACCTAACACCGGCTCTTTCAGTTACATAACCCTTTTTGAACCTGAAATTTAAAATAAAAATACTCTTATAAGATCGGATAGGGTCAAAACTTGCCAGATTCGAGTGTTTTAATCATCCATAATTATCTTTATAACTTTAACTTTTTATTAGTTTTACATCTAAGTGGATTCATTCACATTGTGTAAAATTAATTTAATTTTATACTTTTTAAAGATCCTTAGATAAGTGAAAAATAAACTTACACTAATAGTATGAAATGAGAAAATATAAAAAAGGATAACATGAATCATCGATTCCTATCCAACGATCTTTTAAAGCTTTACGGTAAACAAAGTATAAGAGAATCCTAATCCTGAGAGAGAGAGAGAGGGGGGGGAGTCTTCCTATATACTATTTGTCTTTTTATCCAACCTTTGTTGAAGCGAGGAGCCGGTTTATGCTGCTTCTTCGTTAGCTAGTTTTCGTGGGTGCTTTTGTGAAAGCGATGAAAGATGGCCACGTTATGATCACTGCTCAAGAACCAGAGCATCATACTATTTGAAAATATCGGCATGCATTTATATACATAGATGCTTGCGGCCTGTTGTTTCCTTGGTTATCGTGGCAAATTATACTATCATATACACAAATGCATGCATGCCTCAATCTCTACACGCGATCGCCAAACTATATATATATATATAAGTTTACCCACGTACTTATTCCATATAGATCAGAAAGATTATATATATATACATCCGTATATAATTAAGAATTGATAGCGGATCAGATGTCTACAATTTTTAATAAAACATATGAACGACAGATGTTACTACAAAAAGAATGACATATAATGTCAGATGACCATGGTACACATATAGACTATAATCTATATATTGCTACTAATACTTTAAAATTTTATTAATATAGTCATTATGACCTAATATGATTTTTTTTGTACACAAAAGTTTAGGTCAGGAGTAGCTCCTCTAGTCTAGGGTCAGGACATATCTAAGATCCTATTGGGATTTACATAGTACTTTACAGTGGGATTCGAACTTGGCCTTACAAGCTCAAATTCCTGAATCTCAACCACTTGTGCCAACCCTCATTAGCTACCTAATATGATAACAGAACAACAAATCTCTGGATTCAAAAGGAATAATATATTTTATCACTTATTTGATAGATTATACCTGAAATGACAAAAAGAGTTTCTACCTCGGATATGCGTACGTGAAGCACTACACATGCATGAATATGAGAATAAGAATATATTATGGATATGAAAAGGGTATAAATAAGTGGCATCGTTGGTTCATCACCATATCTGCTAATCTCAGCTGCAGTTGCGATATTACAGGGTAAAATCTTCACTGGCAGGCAGGCAGGTGATCAGCTGAATGATAATTGCAGTGTTGTGCCCTCTGCCAATGGAGATTTGCCCGGCAATTCCAGTACTGCAACACTATTGTCGTTCACAATACACCAGCTACCATGTAGTTTTATTTGACAGGGCAATTATCATTAGTTTGCACTACTTTTATACAAACTGCAATATTTCGGCCAAAAGTGAACCGATAACTCTTCACAAATGAGCTTGTGTTTTGCAAGGTTTGAATTTAATTTTCTCTTATATTTCTGCATTATTCACATACCGATAAGGATATTTGATGGAACCGGATCGGTGTAACCCTAGTTTCATTCCTGACAAAAGCTTTGCTCTTCTCTACTCATCAATCACCATGGTCCCCCATTCTTAAATCTTCATCAGGTTCCTTTACATTTACTTGTTCATTCCACTGAAATAAGGTCTTATAAAAGCAAGGTCCACATTATTGTTGATTAGGTTAAACCAGGCTCCTATCCTGATAAAGTTTGCATTCATAGTCTGTTTTACTGAAAAAAAAGAAGCTTATGTTATGATGATGGGTGGATACTGAAGAAAATTACTGGTTACGAGAATGAGATCATTGAGTGAGTGAATCGCAGGGCAAATCTCCTTTGTCAGAATCAGAATTATGCATGAGCATGTCTGCTAAAGGAAGATTGCTCTGTAATTCCTCAACATCTTGCTTTCAGAACTGATATGATTTCCTTGGCTGGTTGTTGAGAAAGATCAGTATTTATAGTGCTAAAATACCATATGATTTTCTTTCTAACTTAAGATATAAATCACACTTATCAAGTAAAATATTTAGGATATGCTAA